CCCTTCATATGCCCCCACCACGTCTCTCTCTCTGCAGGCTGAGCCCCTACGAGTGGTATAACCCACACCCATGCCTGCGGGCGCGCCCCCACATCCTAGAGAACCAGTACACGCTGGGCAACAGCCTCTGGTTCCCCGTCGGGGGCTTCATGCAGCAGGGCTCGGAGATCATGCCCCGGGCGCTGTCCACTCGCTGCGTCAGCGGAGTCTGGTGAGAGGCTTTCTGTCTGCCGCCTGGGACTGGGAGGGGTCACTCTGAGGCCTGGTTGGATCCCTGGTCCCCACTACCAGCTGTGTGCCAGGGAATGGGGTGGGGAGAGCTGAGCCCCAGCTCTGCCACTCACTAACTGTGTGACCTTGGATAGGCCATATTTCCTCTGCATGCCTCAGTCTCCTCATCTGGAAAATGGGGATAAGAACGCCCATGGCTCAGGGTGTAAGGATTCAGTGAGGCTATTACAGAAAAGTGCTTCTGCTGACATGAGGGGTCACGATCAGAGTGGTACCAGTGCTGTCGCTGTCTCAGACGTTGCTCTGGGGATCACAGAGACAGAATCCTTGAGCCAGGACATCCTTCACTATCCTGAGGCCAAGGCCCAGACAGGGACACCTGGTCCCTCAAGTCCTATGGGGACCCAGTAGCTTGGACAAGCTCTGAGAAGCTACATGTCAGAGAGCAGACACCAACTTATGGTGTCTGGCCCACAGTTTAAATTTTTAAAAAATTAGTTGGCAACATGTAAACATTGGGCAAACTCACTCACAAATCCAGATTTCTCTTCTAGAAAATTCAGCTCTGGTGGCACTCAGCTGGCATCTCCACCTGGCGTTGCTGTCTGTTCCTTCGGCCTCGTCCCCTCTCCCCCTCCAGTCACGCCTGGCCTGGCCTCCATAAGCACTCGAGTTTGCTCCCCATCTTCCAAGTAGCACCTGGACTTTATTGCAGATCATATAACGCTTCTCACCTCCTTTCCCTCATTAGACCCACAGAAACCCGAGGAGAATGCTTAGGGAAGAGTATGTTCTCCTGGCTTGTTAGAAGGCAGACCCAGAGAGAAGGAGTGATTTACTACAGAGCATGCATTCGGCTAGAGGCAGGGCTGGCAGGGCCAAGCTGGCCCCAATGCCACTCACACCAGCCAGCCCCAGCCCTGCTCTCTAGGCCCCTGGTGACTCCTCCAGGGCAGTCCCAGGCATCAGGCCTTCTCACGGAGCACCCCTTCCTCGCCTCCTCTCAGTCAGAATTCCTGCACAAACAGTCACTCGGTCAGGCACTCGGGTGAAGAATCAGCCCTCGAGAGGCAGAGGAGCCGAGAATAAACAAGTGAACAGATACATAAACACAGGGACGTCATATTTCATGCCAAGCGTATGTGCCAAAGATATTGTCTAATTCCCAACTTGTTTAATTCAAGACTAACTGTAATGATAGCAGGTGTTTCTCTCTCCCAACTAAGAGGGACTAACTACCAGATGGCCTTGTTTGCCATTCACTTGGTCCACTGGCTTCAAAACTTTTGAGTACTGATGCCTTTTTCCCAGCCTTTTGGGATTTGCTTCATTTCAAGTCTTCTACTCTGTATTTGTTTCCTAGTGCTCCTGCAAAAATCACAAATTTAATGGCTTAAAGCAACATAAGGTTCTGGAGGTCAGCAGTTTGAAATGGATCTCACTGACTAAAATCAAGGTGTCTGCAGGCCGATTCTTCACAGCGGTTCTCAACCTGTGGGTCAAGAACAATGAAAATACATCCTGCATATCAGATATTTACATTATGATTCTTAACAGTAGCAAAATTACAGTTATGAAGTAGCAACGAAAATAGTTTTATGGTTGGGGGTCACCACAACATGAGGAACTGTATTAAAGGGTCGCAGCATTAAGAAGGTTGAGAACCATTGTGGGCTCCGGGGAGAGCCCATCTCCTTGCCTTTTCTAGCGTTTAGGAGCCACCTGCATGCTTTGGCCCATGACCCAAAGCCAGAGCAAACATCTTCAAGTCTCTCTTTTTATCTCTGACCTCCTGCTGCTGCTGAGAAGGACACCGATTTCACTGGGCCCACCCGGCCAATCCAGGGTTATGTCCCCATTTCAAGACCCTTAACTTCATCATCTGCAAAGACCCATTTACACTGTGAGGGAACATACAAGATCCAAGGATTGGGGTGTAGACATCTTGCGAGGGGGGCTTCCTTCTGCCTACAGTGCACCCCAAGTGAAAGTCATTAGTACTTTCAGTGTAATGACGTATGAGATGCACATACACTGGTAGTGAGGAACCAAACCCGACGCAGGGAGAGAGCAGTAGAGAACAGGGTGCTCGGGGGGGCCCCTCTGAGGAGGTGACAGGCTGAGTCCGAAAGGCTGAAACAGGCATCCGTGCCACAGAGAGGGAGGAGCACTCCAGACAGGCCTGGGGAGGCACGTGTGTGAGGAGGTGGCTGGGAATCAGGGAACTCCTCTTTGCAGGCCATTTTGGCTTCCCCAGCTGGGCAATCCCTGCCCCTTCCCATCGCTATCACCAGGAAACCCCCAGTCACATCCTCTCTCCTTAGAGCCTTTGACCTGGCTCACTCTCATTTCACCCTGAGTCTTCCCACACATTGGCTCGTTCAAAAGATGTTTCCACAGGTGGTTATTATCTTCAAAAGGGACCCTGGCCCGATGGTTGGGCAGGTCAGGGCCAGTGGTGGGGTGGTGGGTGCAGGTGCCAGTACCCTGTCAGACTCGGCTGCCACCTCAACAGCAGCAGCCGGGCCAGGACCCGCTGCCGGGGCTCCTCCTCACCAGTGTCCAGTGGGGCCACAGCCACCTACAGCCACACCAAGGGCTGGTCAGTGCTCAGCACAGCTCTGCTGTGGAAGTCAGTTTCTGAGCTGAGTCAGTGGTCAGGCTCTCCCGCGGTCACTCCAGGACATGAGTCCTTGGACCTTCCTCTTTCCTACTTTCTCATCAGTTCACCTAGGCAGGCTCCCAGGCATGTCTTTGGCTGCTCCTTTGCCACTGTCCTCAGCTCCTCCTCAGGTCCAGTTGCCCTTTCCTCATGCCCTCTTGGCAAGAAGGCCCCCAAACCTCAGTTCTAGCCAGTATCTGGATCTCCACTGGGGTCACACGGGACCCCTTTATTGATATGTCCAATACCCCCTGTTCCCACCTTCCTCCTAGAAACCCTCTGCTGATTCCTCCCAGTTTCCACCTGCGTCTTTGGATCCTGTTTCATTTCACCCTTGCATCTCATGGATTTCCTCCCTCCACATCAGTGACGCCCTGTTTACAACAAATGTTCTGTGACATCCCCTTTTCCACCCCGATGAATTTCAAGGGTAATCTATCTACCTATACATGTGATTTAAAACAAAGCAATAAAACGCCCTAATTGTAATACAGAAGGAGAAAAAGGGAAGTGATTTATGATAAAACAGCTGGCTAGTGAAGCGTAATCGCCTGGGTGGGACGATGCTAGAAGACTGGCTGCAACAGTCAGGTGCCTGCGTGTAATGCGAATGTGTAGTCACAGGAAGTGAGGCCGTTTAATAGAATTATTTCAACACCTGAGACGACACTGAAATAGTCGGTGAATGTGTGCGTTTGTACGAACATAAAGGTGAAGGTGGCGGTTTATGGATGCAGCTGGTCCTAGTGTCTTGACTTGGGGACTCAGGTACCACGAGCAGGGCTGTGCTGTCAGAGATGCAATTTCCCAAAATGGTGAGCAGTTCTTGGCAAAGTTTCAAACAAAGCAGCACCGAGTTCTTCCTCAATCTAAGTAATAGGTGCATTTCTAGAAATTTCAGTTTTACCCTAGCCCCATGGTCGGCAAACCACGGCTCAGGAGCCACATGTGGCTCTTTGGCCCCTTGAGTGTGGCTCTTCCACAAAATACCACGTGTGGGCGCACACGTACAGTGCGATTGAAACTTCGTGGCTCATGTGCAGGAGTTGGTATTTTGTGGAAGAGCCACACTCAAGGGGCCAAAGAGCCGCATGTGGCTCACGAGCCACAGTTTGCCAACCACTGCCCTAGCCGGTTTGGCTCAGTGGATAGAGCGTAGCCCACGAACTGTATGGTCTTGGGTTCGATTCCGGTCAAGGGCACGTGCCTCGGTTGGGGCTCATGTGGGAGGCAACCAGTTGATGTTTCTCTCTCTCTCTGTCTCCCCCTTTCCTTTCCACTCTCAAAAAAATCAATGGAAAAATATCCTGGAGTGAGGATTTTTTTTAAATTTAGAAATTTTAGTTTCTATTGTAACCATGTAAAAATACTTTGGTTTTTATGTACCGAGGAGATAGGCTCAGATAATCACGGTCCAGATTTTCCCTGTTGTGGAGACTGGGCTGCATTGTCAGACACCTGACACCAGGGGCCCCCTCCGTCATTTCGACCATCAGAGTGCTCCACACCTAAACAGGCAGCTTCTGAGGGGGGCCCACTGCCCTGTGCTTCCGGGGCCATATTACCCACCCTGCTTGGGTGCCCGATGGCCTCCTTAAACTCAACTTGTCCAAAACGGAGCTCACATCCTTACTCTGAAATCAAACTCCCCATTGGCTCCCCTGCTCTGTCACGGTGAGTGGCCCCTTCTTCTCACCCACCCCCATCCCACCACCGGTCAGCCATGCTGTATTTTCAGGGTCTAGGTCAGTGATGGCGAACCTTTTGAGCTCGGCGTGTCAGCATTTTAAAAAACCCTAACTTAACTCTGGTGCCGTGTCACATATAGAAATTTTTTTTATATTTGCAGCCATAGTAAAACAAAGACATATTTTTGATATTTATTTTATATATTTAAATGCCATTTAACAAAGAAAAATCAACCAAAAAAATGAGTTCGCGTGTCACCTCTGACATGCGTGTCATAGGTTCGCCATCACTGGTCTAGGTGGTCCTGGTGTCTGCCGGGCACTAAATAATTTTGTCTTATGTGAATGACAACATTGCCCAGTGGGGTGGGTTCGGAGAGACTTGGTTCCCGGAGAGGAGGTATCAGACTGGGTCTGTGTGTGTTGGGTTTTGGTTTTGGTTTGCAGGAGGCTGTATTATTCCTCTCTTATCCTCCTCTCCACCCCACCCCAGTGCCTTGCACAGTGCTGTGCATGTTTGCTCAGGAAAGGGCAGCTGCTGTTTTCATTACTTTTTTAAAAAGAATAGTTGATTGATTTTTAGAGAAAGGAAGGGAGAGGGAGAAACATGATGCGAGAGTGCAACATCGATTTGCTGCCTTCTACAGGGGTGGGGGCATCGAGCCCACAACCAGGGCATGTGCCCTGACCTGGAATCAAACCAGCAACCTAGGGCCAGGGCTGTTTTCAATATTACCTGCTGGAGGAGGTGTGGCCTGGAAGGCCCTCTCAGAGCTGTACCTTCTGCAGGAAGCCTGGCCTCTCTCCCAAGTAGTAGGACAGAGAGGGCCAGGTAAGAAAGACTGACTGCCCTTGGGCCCTGTGGGCACTCGCACAGATGTAACTCAACAGCCCTGTGAGGAGGGGCCCACAATTGTACTTACCTCACTGGTGATCCCAGGTCACGCAGCTAGGCAGTGATGGAGCCAGCTTTGGGAATTTTCCAGAGACCTATTAGTGATTTCTAGTTTAGTTCCATTGTGGTCAGAGAATATTCTCTGTAGGATTTTAATCCTTTAAAATTTATTGAGACTTGTTTTGTGGCTCTGAATACGTCCTTTCCTGATAGCTATTCTCTGTGCACTTGCATAGAAGGTAAATGGCCATCAGGGCCAGTAGGCTGATAGCATTATTCAAGTCGTCTGCATCCTTGCTGATTTTCTGTCTACTTGTCCTAGCAATTATTGAGAGAGGCGTGTTGAAATCTCCACCTGTAATTGTGGAGAAATTGTATCTATTTTTCCTTTTAGTTGCATCAGTTTTTGCCTCGTGAATTTTGAAGCTCTATAAGTAGATGTGTAAGTGTTTAGGATTGTTATGTCTTCTTGATGAATTGATCTCTTTCTCATTATAATGTCCCTGTTTATTCCTGGTAACAGTCCTTGTTCTGAAGTTACCTTTAATATTGATATAGCTATGCTTTCTTATGCTTAGTGTTTGCAGAGTATATCTTTCCCCCATCCTGTCACTTCCAACCTCCTTATGTATTATATTTAGGCCTTGAAGCAGGAATTGGCAAACTTTTTCTTTATCAGGCCAGATAGTAAATATTTTAGGCTTTGCTGGCCATGCAGTCTCTGTCGTAACTACTCAACTCTGATTGCAGTGTGAAAGCAGCCTTAGACAATACACAAATGAGTGAGTGTGGCTGTGTTCCAATAAATCTTTATTTATGGACACTGACACTACAATTTGGACTTTATGTGTCATGTGTCATGATATATGACCCTTCTTTTGCTTTCTTTTAAATTATTTTAAAATGTGAAAACTATTCTTAGCCTGTGTACCAAAACAGATGGCAAGCCAGATTTGGCCTGTGGGCCATAGCTTGCCAACCCCTGATTGAGACCTTTCTTGTAATTGTTGGTATGGTCAGGTTTAAATCTGCCAGCTTACTGTTTTTCTTCTATTTGTCCCATCTGTTCTTTGTTCCCAATTCTCTCTTTTTCCTCCCTGTTTTTGGATTTATTGAGATTTTTAAAATTCTGCTGTATGCCTGCTCTTGACTTACTATACTTCTTTGTTTTATTTTTTTATATGCATCTTTTATTATTACAAAGTACTATCAGGTAACATTATACCACTTCACAGAAGATGTCAGACCCTTACAACAATGTGCTTCCACAGCTCCCTCTCGTCCTCTGAGCTCCTGTTGTTATGTTTTTACTTCTGCTTATTTTGCGAACCCCACAGTACATTCGCTGTGTGTGTGTTTACTTTAACCGTAAATGTCTTTTAGAGAAATTTTAAAAATGAGGACTGTGTCTTTTATATTTACCCACACATCTACCATTTCTGAAGCTCTTCATGCCTTTATGTACTTCCAAATTTCCATCTAGTATTTTCCTTTTACCTGAAGAACTTCCTTTAACATTTCTTAAAGTGCAGGTCTGCTAGCAATTAGTTCTCCAAGCTTTTGTTTGCATGAAAAATTCATTAGTGTGTTTTATTCTTTGAAGGGTCTTTTTTCTGAATGTGGAATTCTGGGTTGGTAGGTTGCTTTTTCCTTTCAGCATGTTGTTACATTGCCTTCTGGCTTGCACACTTCCTGACAAGAAGCCTGTCACTCTTATCTTTGATTCTCTGTGTGTAATATATTTCCCCACTCATGGCTGCTTTTTAGATTTTCTCTTTATCACTGGTTTTCAGCAATTGGTTATAATGTGCCTTGATGTGTTTTGTGTGTATGTCTGTTTATTCTACTAGGATTTATTGAGCTTCTTGAATCTGTACCTTTGTTTTTATCAAATTTGAAAAAAAAATTTGGCCATTACTTCTTCAAATATATATTTTTCTGTTATTCCTTGTCTCTCCTCTTTCTGGGACTCCAGCCACACATGTAAGATCACTTGATATTATTCCTCAGGCCACTCAGGCTCCATGCTATTGGTCAGTCATTTTTTCCTTTCTGTGCTTCGTTTTGGATAGATCCTTTCACTTTCTCCCAATTCCCTGTTCCGTTCTACTGCAGCATCTGATCTGTGTAATCCCTTCCAGTAAAATTTCCCTCTTCGGTGTCGTATATTTCGTTTCTAGACGTTTCTCTCACTTCTGTCTTATATCTTCCGCCTTCCTCTGCATTATGCTCATGTTTGTATTCATATCCTTGAGCATTCTGATCATGTTTATAATAGCTGTTTAATGTCCTTGTCCTCTCTGTCAACTCTGGGTCTTTTCAATTGAGTGATTTGACTCTTGGTTACAGTTTCCTTTGCTTTTGTATATCTGGTAATTTTTTTAAAGCCTCACCCAAGGATATGTTTATTGACTTTAGAGAGAGAGGAAGGAAGGGGGGGGAGAGAGAGAGAGAGAGGGAGAGAGAGAGAGAGAGAGAGAGAGAGAGAGAGAAACATAGATATGAGAGAGAAACATCAATCGGTTGCCCCATACGCACCCCGACCAAGGAGCAAACCTGTAACGTTTTGGTGCATGAGATGACGCTCCAACTGAGCGACCCAGCCACGGCTATTTGGTAATTTTTTTATTGGATGACACACGTTGTGAATTTCACACTGTTTACATTGTTGAAAGTACGCTTCAAACAAGTCTTAGACTTTTTCTGGCAGGCAGTTAGGTTACTTCTAGATTATTTTTATCCTTTCCAGGCCTGTTCTTTTGGTGCAGGCTTAGCGTGGCCTCTATTCTAGGGCTAAGCTGACTCTATTTCTAATGTGTTGTCCTTTGGGGTCTCTTCTGAATGTCTCATGAATCCAGTGAGATCTCTCGACTCTGGCTGGAGGGAGCTCAAAAGATTTGCAGCCCTGGGAATTGTCCTCTCTTTGAAAGTTGTTCTGTCTGGAATTTCACCCTGTGCGAACAGACTGATATTCAGCCAAAGACTCAAGGGGACCCAGTGAGACTTCTGGAGCCCTCTCTGTGCAGCTCTCCCCTTAGGCACTCTATCCCGCAAATCCCAGCCGTCTTGAATTCTGATCTCCATCTCCACAATTCAGCGAGACTGCCAGACTGGGCTTTCCTTCCTGCCTGGCACTGCAGTCTGTGATTAAATCCACCCGCAGCCTTGGCAATGCCAAGGCTCGCTTCATTTATTTATTTTCCCTCAGGGATCACAGTCCTGTGATGCCTGTTGTCCTATGTATTTAATTGTTTTTCTATATTCTGTCTACGTCTAGTTTTCTAGTTTTTCTTGGTGGGAGAATACTCCCAGACCACCTTATTCTCCTGTATCTGGAAATGGAAGTCTCTGGAAGCGATATTTAAACCCAGAGAGTCTGGCTCCAGTCTCCCACTAATCAGCAGTCACTGAGCCTTCTAGCAGTCACTGAGCCTTCTAGCTGTCAGATCCTTGAGGGGCACCACCAATGGGGCCCATGGCCACGGGCAGGGTGGCAGGGTGACTCCAGCTTGTAGCTCACCCCTCCCACCCCTCAGGTGGGCCTTCACCTTGATCATCATCTCCTCCTACACCGCCAACCTGGCCGCCTTCCTCACCGTGCAGCGCATGGAGGTGCCTGTGGAGTCGGCTGATGACCTGGCAGACCAGACCAACATTGAGTATGGCACCATCCACGCTGGCTCCACCATGACCTTCTTCCAGGTGGGCCCCCGAAGCTGTCTGGCTTGGTGTTGGGGTCCCCACCATGCATAGCAGCTCAGAGTGGGGCTGGGCGGGGCCTCCTGGGTCAGAGGACCTGATTGTCCTGAAAGTCCAGGAGGCCAGGGAGCAGAGGACACGCTCGTGCTCTCATGAGGAGTCTGCTGTCTGGCTGGGGAAACTGGACTTTCACCCAAGGAATAGGGGAAAGGAAGCAGGTGTGGGATCCAGTGCCACATCAGTGCCGGACAGGCCAATGGGGTCCTGGAGGCTGCGAGGGTCAGGCCTGGCGAAATGAGCCAGCGAAGAGGGAAGGCCCTTCAAGGAGAAGGGAGCTTGTCCAGTGTGTCTTGGGTGGTGGGAAGAAATCAAAAGGAAAGCAAGCCTGGCGAGGAGGTTTGGGTGAGAGACTGCAGAGGCCTCGAATGCCAGGGTAGGGCTGAGATTGGACCCTGTGAGTGGGGATGTGGGAACGGTTGAGGGGTGACCCCTTTAAAAGCTGGACGTTCCCTCTGGGGCAGTTGGGGGTAGACAAGTGGGCTGGAGAGAAGGCTGGAGTTGGGCAGTGGCCGCTGGCTGAAGGGGTAAGCAGCTGAGAAGGAGGGGGGTGAGTTCCCAGGTTTCTCAGGTGAGTGGCGGGACCAGCTCCCCCAGGTGGGAGGCCATTGGAATAGGGTTGGGAGATTGCCAAGCCACGGGGCAGGGTCTGTGGGGTACCAAGGAAGAGCAGAGTCTGGACCTCAGATCAAAGAGGGGGATGTGGGTGCAGGAGGGCGGGCATCAGGTGGTCGGGACAGGAGTAGTCGTTCCCAAAATGTTCCCGCGGGTTCTATAGGAAGTAAGCTGTCCTATTCAGCATGGACTCAGGTCTTCCTGAACCACTGGGCCCTCGGTAGAGTTGAGGGTTGAGCATCTACTCCCGGGTTCTATGAGTAAGGCCTGGGAGCACTGGGAAGCCAGGGCTGGTGTTGAAAACTAGACCGTGACCCCTTCTTCCCAAGTCTTTGGTCCTTGGGGTCTCACTGGCTGGGGGGGGGGGGTGTCTTAGACCGCGCCTTGAGCAGTCTGTCCATCTGGTTTCTCCTCTGTCTTCCTCTGCTCTCCTCGCTCTCTCTTGGGTTGAGGGAGACTTGCTGGAGGGCAGGGGACAGGGTTCAGGGGAAGGGCAGCAGGTGGAAAGCCCCTCACCTCTCCCCCTTGTGCCACTCTGTCCAGAATTCACGGTACCAGACGTACCAGCGCATGTGGAACTACATGCAGTCGAAGCAGCCCAGCGTGTTTGTCAAGAGCACAGAGGAGGGCATCGCCCGCGTCCTCAACTCTCGCTATGCCTTCCTGCTCGAGTCCACCATGAATGAGTACCACCGGCGCCTCAACTGCAACCTCACCCAGATTGGGGGCCTCCTTGACACCAAGGGCTACGGCATCGGCATGCCCCTGGGTATGTGGTGGCAGGACTGGGGGCTTGGCAAGCAGGCCGGGGACAGACTAGGTCTGCCATGGGGCCTCCTGGCTGTGGGGCCTTGGGCAGGTGACGTCACCTTCCTGAGCCTCTGCGCCCTCAACCTGTGAAAACGGGCCTCGGAGCAATCCGTTCCAGCCCCGCAGGGCTGCTGGGAGTGCGGGAGACTGTGCAGGTCAGCACATGGCAGGAGGTTGGCGCCTTCCCACATGGCTCCAGGACCCCTCGAGGGTGAGGACCTGGTTTCATTACTTCAGATTCTCTGCACGAAACCCACAGCCTGGCTCAGAATAGGTGCTCAGAAAATGGCTGATGGATACTGCTGGCTGGGTGGAGGGGCGGAGGGAGGATAGAAGAATGGGTGGATCGGCCAGCAAGACTTAGACATGCTTTTCCAGGGCTCAGTGTTGGAAGCTCACCACCAATATTGCCACCAAATTTGGGCATTTTAGCTTTTAAACCTCTTCATATGCTGATGACTGCTGCGATAGTCACATATTACTGTTTAACACGTTACCCCAAATCTTAGCTGCTTCGCAGCAGCGTCGGTACTGTGCCAGGCAAGCAGTGTGGCTTGGTGCTTTGCGGGGACAGGCTCTGGAGTCACTGACCTGGATTCAAATGCCTGCTCCCTCTGCCCCCCAACTCAGCTTCAGTGTTACCTGCCCTGGGGCTGGTAATACCTGCCTCACAGGATCACTGTGAGGCGTGAATACAATTCTATAAACCAAGGTTCTGGCACATAGTAGGTGCCTGATAAATGCTAAGCAGCCCATTCGCCCATATCCCGAGTTCCTGGCGCTGGTCGATGCTCAAGACATATTGCAGTGAATGAAGAAATGAGCACAGGAGAGGGTAGGCGTGGGGTGGTTGAAGGAGACAGGTGGTCCAGGGTTGGGCCATGCAGAGGAGAGGTGGCTGGGGGTCTTTTTCCAGGCCGTGTGCAGGCGTGTGCTGGATGCTGGATGCTGGGACAACACAGCGGGGAGCTGGCAAGCTCTGCCCTCCTGTCCTCTGCTAGGGGCACAGACAGCAAACCGACAGTGAACACAGCTTTATAATGTGATGTCAGGTGGTGACAACTGCTCTGAAGTAAATTAAGGGGAAGAACTGACGGAGTAGAGCGCTTTTTGTCATTTAAATAAAGTCCGTTAGAGAAGACCCCCTGAGGAGGCACCACATGAGCAGAGCCCTCAGTGAACTGAGAGAAGGAACATCCCAGGCAGAGGGAAAGCTCCCGGGGGATTGGGTGGGGGGCTAAGGGGGGCCTCCTGGAGGACTAGCCAGGAGGCCAGTGTGGCTAGAGCTGAGGGCCGTGGGGGCGGTGGAGCCCCAATGGCCTGGCCAGCGGCTAGACCAGCAGTTCTCAACCTGTGGGTCGCGACCCCTTTGGCGGTCGAACGACCCTTTCACAGGGGTCACCTAAGACCATCCTGCATATCAGATATTTACATTACGATTCATAACAGTAGCAACATTACAGTGATGAAGTAGCAACGAAAATAATTTTATGGTTGGGTCACAACATGAGGAACTGTATTTAAAGGGCCAGAAGGTTGAGAACCACTGGGCTAGACCGTGTAGGCCAGGAGAGGACTTTGTCCTCGCGGCCCCAGGAAGCCACTGGAGAGTTTTAAGTATGAGGGAGGCATGGTCTCTGTTTCTGAAATTGTTCCTCTGGCTGCTGTGTGAAGAAGAGCCTGGTTGGGGATGAGAGGGGGCTGCAGGGAGGGACCACAGCCAATCTGACCTGGGGTGCAGTGGGCGTGGCTAGGCATGGTTGCAGGGGAGCAGTGGTCAGACTCAAAGGTGTACAGAGCAGACCCTGGGGACATGGTGGAGACAGGGAGCAGTGGGGGTCTGGTGGGCAGGGCTCGGGCCCCATGGCCGCTCGCCCCATGTGCCGCCCAGGCTCGCCGTTCCGGGACGAGATCACACTGGCCATCCTGCAGCTCCAAGAGAACAACCGGCTGGAGATCCTGAAGCGCAAGTGGTGGGAGGGGAGCCGGTGTCCCAAGGAGGAGGACCGTCGCGCTAAAGGTCAGCCACCTGCATGCGTGCCCCCTGGGAGACCCTTCACAGCCGCGTGCCCGCACAGTTCAACCCCTGGCTCTCCCCCGATCCCCAGGTCTGGGCATGGAGAACATTGGCGGCATTTTTGTTGTGCTTATCTGTGGCCTCATCATTGCTGTCTTCGTGGCCGTCATGGAGTTTATATGGTCCACGCGGAGGTCAGCAGAGTCCGAAGAGGTGAGGAGGTTGGCAAAGGGTGTGGGGTAGCAGTGGCGTCCAGGTTGGAGGGGCATGAAGACTGTAGCACTGGGGGCCACACTGGAGGGAAACAGGCTGCGAGGAGGGGCCGGGGAGCCAGGGAGGTGAGGGGGTCTGGGAGAGTTCAGGGGTAGAGGAGGTTGAGAAGAGGAGAGAGCAGTTTGGGGGGAGAATCCACAGGCATGAGGAGGGCAGGGGCAGCGACGAGGATGCCGGGGAAAGGAGTGGGAAGGGGCACAGTGAGAGGATGTGGGGAGAGGCAGAGGTAGTAAAGCAAGAAGAAACGGGGAGAGAGAGGCGAGGAGAATGCAGCTGAACGAGCCTGGATTGCTGACGGGTCTCCCACTATGTCCGGGGCCTCGGGTGCTGCCAGCCCCACTCCTCCATTGCCAGACCATTCCTGCCCCTGCCCTCCTAGCCTGTTCGGACCTTCCCTCTCCCTGCCAGCCAGCCCTCCTCCCATCCTCACTGTTGGCTGATGACTTTGCTTCTACTCTCCTGAACAAGTGCAGAGACCCCTTCCACATCTAGCTGCCGCCTACTTTCTCCACGGCCCTGGGAGTTACTCCATGAAGGTGAAGGTCCAGGCTCCTAGCTAAGGCCCCATCTGGCCCCATCTCCTCCCCTCTCGTCTTCCCCGGGACACCCCCCAGCAGTTCTCTCCTTGCCTCGGCATCATCAGTTCCCCTTTACTGGATCAAGGCCGGCAGCATACAAATGTGCTGTCATTTCTCCCATCTTCAAAAAACCCTCTCAAGTCCACTTCCCTTCCCAGCCACCAGCCACGCTCCCCTTCCCTGACAGCCTTGAGACTTGTGTCTCCCTGCTATTCCCAATTCCTCTCCTCCCACTCACTCTCGGACACACTCCAGTCCAGCTGCTGCCCCCACCTCTCTGCTGAAGCCACTCTTGTCACCAGCAGCCTCCACGGCTGAAATCCAGTGCCGGAAGCTCAGGCCTCATCACATGTGAGGTAGCGATAGGCTTCAGCCCAGCCCATCATTCTGTCCTCAAAACCCACTCTTCCCCACCCGCCTCCCTTTCCTCTACCTCCCTGGCCACTGCTTTGTGGGAATTCTTGTGCTCGGGCCTGCGATTGCCTCTCTCCTTGGTGATCCCATCAGCCTCATGGTAAGACCCTCCATGCTGTGGACTCCTGTGTTAGTCATCTATTGCCATGTGACAAATTGTCCCCAAATTCAGCAGCTTAAAACAGCAAACATATCAATTCAGTTTCTGTGGGTCAGGAACTGGGAGCAGCTTAGCTGGGCCGTTCTGGCCGTGCAGGGTCTCTGCTGAGGTCATGGACACGATGTCGGCTGAACGCTCTGCTGGGCGGGAGGAGCCACTTCTGGGATGGCTCTACCTCAAAATGTCCCTGTAGCTTTAAATTTTTAAAAAAATTGATTTCAGAGAGGAAGAGAGAGGGAAAGAGAGATAGAAACATCAATGATGAGAGAGAATCATTGATTGGCTGCCTCCTGCATGCCCCCTACTGGGGATGGAGCCAGAAACCCTGGGCATGTGCTCTAACCAGAAATCGAATCATGACCTGGCTCATAGGTCAACTCAACACTGAGTCACACCAGCCGGGTATGCATGGCTGTACTTGTGGATTTTAATTTATGGAGGTGACTGAGTGAAGACACAGAGACTCCGATGCCATTGAAGGAATATTTTTATTACATTTTCCAAGAGAAGGGGGCCCACTGTGCCACACAGCACCACATGGGGAAGCACAAGGTTTGTGCAGAAGCAGAAGGAGGTGGCGGGGGTGGGGTGTCATGGGACTAGACCAGAGCCTTTACTGGGGTTTCCAAAAGACAAGGCAGGGCAGGGCAACAGCTTAGAACTGGCTGGTTTGGATAATGTCAGCCGGCTCTGGGCTAGAGGAGTGGTCTCCAGTTGTCTGGTGCGTGGTCCCAGGTGAGTTAGGGCAGCTTGATGTGTGAGAGGTACATGAAGGGTGTGGGTGGGGGTGTGGACTTGGGATTGGCTGGTTGGCATGTGGAAGGTGGGCCGGTAGCCCTTTGCTATCTACCTCTAAGAATTGGCTCCCTCTGGGAAGGGCAGTCTCTCCCCGGTCAGCAAGATTTTAAAGATATCAAAACATCCTAAGATACAGAAAATAAAGAGCACGACTAGCACACACATGCACATGACAGCTGGCAGGACGCCCCAGTTCCTCGCACAGGGGCCGCCACAGGGCTGTGTGTGTCCACGGTGTGGCAGCCGACTTTCCTGAGTGAGTGATCCGAGAGCCGGCAGAAGCCAGCATGTCAGCTGACCTAGCGTGTTCTGTTGGTCATACAGCAACCTGGACGCAAAGGCAGAGGGGCTGACACAAGGGTGGGAACACCAGGGGATGGGATCTTGGGGGCTGCCGACCTTAGCCTCCAAATGTGTATCTCACAGGGACCTCTCCCTGAACCCAGGGTTTATACTCGACATCTCCACGTGGATGTCTAACGGACACGTGACACAGGTGTCCAACATGAAGTTCCTGCCCACCCACCAGGCAACGCCGTCATTCTGGTTGCTCAGGTCAAAATATGTGGCATTACCCTCCATTCCTTCCTCTCTTTCCCAACATCTATCTGATCTCTTGGCAAGTCCTGTTGGCTCCACCTTCAAAATACTATACCCAGAATCCAACCCTTTCTCCCCTCCACAGCGGCCTCGGTGCCTCCCTGCTCTTGCCCTTGGCTCCCTACAGTCTAATCCCATGGTTCGCGAGCCACATGTGACTCTTTGGCCCCTTGAGTGTGGCTCTTCCACAAAATACCACGTGCGGGCATGCACGTACAGTGCGATTGAAACTTCGTGGCCCATGCGCAGAAGTCGGTATTTTGTGGAAGAGCCACACTCAAGGGGCCAAAGAGTCACATGTGGCTCGCGAGCCGCGGTTTGCCGAGCCGCAGTTTGCCGACCACTGGTCTAGTCTCAACACTTCCATGATCCTGTGAGAGCACAGCATCCCCCCTGGCAAGCTCTCCATCCGACTCAGAGTAAAAGCCAAATCCTTAGTGTCCTCTGGCCTCCCATGAGCTGGCCCCATTGTTCCTCTCACCTCATCTACCTCTCTCCCCCTTGCACACTCCATTCTCGTGGTTCCTGAACATCCGCCACTCTCACCTCCGCACCTTCGTCCTGCTGAGCGGCTGCTGCCTGGTCTCCCACCAGGCTCCAGGGCACACCTCTATGAGTTTTCCCTACCTGCCCCTTGTTGAAATTCAGCCTCACTCCCCACCTACACGCCCCACCACTTTTGCGGACTTTATTTTTCTTCAAAGCACTCATCGGCTCACATACCACCTGCGTTTGCATCTTTCTTTCCTTTTTTTTTTCGCATTTGCACACTGGAATATAACCTCCACAAGGGCAGGGACTGCTGTCTGGTTCTCTGCTGTATCCACGGCCCAGAACAGTGCCTGGCACACAGTAGGTGCTCAACATATATGACTAGCAATAATGATAGCATGAGTCAGAGGCAGGAGATGGAAGGACTAGAGGCAGAAAATTTAAAGTGAAAAGACGAGAGAGGAAGCGAAGGGCAGATTCACGTAAGAGAAAAGTGGAGAGACAGGAGCGGAGAGCTGGAGAGGTGAGAGGAAGGAACCAGGAGGGAAGGGAAAGGAGACGAAAGGCCTGGGGGTGGGGCAGGGAGAAAGAGGTGAGGAAAGCCGGTGGGGCGG